GCAACATGAAATTTAAACTTTTGTACGAAACCTAACTGTCTTCAAATGGAATTCATGCAGGCAAACGATTTCTCTTAATAATATTCGCGTGTTATATGCTAATGACGTAATATTATGAGAATAATTACCATTGTTCTAACCTCTAAGCAAGTGTAAATCCAAACCAAAAATATAAAAATTAAATTAAACGAACAAAGAGTGCTAGGGTTATGACCCCTGTGTAATCAATGACTCTCGATTTAAATTAAATTCTGTTCGGACATTTCAAATAATCTAATTCGTTTAAAGTACGATAAAACAAGTACTTAACGATATCAACGTAATAGTGTTTTAATACATGAATCGCTTGCCGTTCGTATAAGCTACGTATATCAACCGTATGCTTTAAAATATGTAATACCTACCTATTGGTTTAATGACAAATAATTTGGTTAAAGTATTCTATTATTATTTTTATTATAAGCAATATTTTTTCATGTTTACATTTTATTTATATTATGTTAATATCATTATAATCAGATACTACATTAGGGTATTCGATGTACACAGTAAATGTATGGCTAAGAGACTATAAAATGCTCGAGCCCCCCGTTGGTTGCGTCATTTTTGTTATATGCTTATGAAAACGAATAATTTATAGTATTGAAATATTTTTTTATTTGAATCAGATATTTCAGTTCGCCTGGAAAAGACACAATGGTAATAAAACGTGGTTATTCTGATATTCGAATTCTATTATTATAGTTTTACTATAAATTATTCCACTCGAAAATCATAATAAACACTTAATTATATTACAACTAACCATCATTAAATATAATATCATCATAATTTATACATTTTCACTGATTACACGGTGTATCTTTTTATTTCATAAAAACCGATGAGTTATAGCACGTTCAAATATCACTATGACGGTGTAAACATTCAACGATCAACAATTTATGCTCACCTTAAAAAAAGAATTAAAAATTAAAAAAGTCGAACAGCTTTATAACAAGAGTAGTAAACAAGAACATATTGTAAAAATTGTATGGAAGGTTATTCTAAGATTACTCCTAAGGGTCATTGTAATAACATAGATATGTACCGAGTACCACTTAATCATGTTATAAATCCTATAATCACCTCTAAGAAATTAAATGAATTAACAAAACACTTATAGAATAAAATTTAAATAACAGATTGAATTTTAGTTTTATTTTTAATTAAATATTAATATTAAATTTAAAATTAATTAATGTTGTACTGACTTAAATATAAAAATATATAGATATTTTCGACAATGATTTGTTTAAAGACGTTCTTTGAATTTTTTTCGTAAAAATTATGTCAATATTGTTTTTATGGCATTCGTTAAAAAACTAGAAGTTTAAAAACTCGACATACGTTATAGATAAAAATCCCATTCAGTTTTATCCATAATATCTATCACGTAGTATCAGTAATTGATTTAGTATAACGTGATAAAACTACTGACCTAATAATTGAACAAATACTTTTAAGTTAAGTTAATACTTTGAAATTATTATTAAGGCGTAATTTTTTTTTTTTTTTTTTAATATTTTATTGTGTTATACTATTTATTGTCTATATTTATTTATTTATTATCTATGTTTATTAATAAACATCAAAGAAATTTATTTTTATTTTTATTTTTTATTGGTAAACACTACTTTTTCTCCCTCTAAACTTGCTCAAAAGTATCAAATGTAGCATCTTTTCTGAAAGGTAGTGTTCTTGAGCTGATACTTTAAAAAAGTCATTTTTTGATTTTCAAAACGGTACTCGAAATAAAGCCTGTTAAAGGAAAAAAAACGTACGATTTTACGATTTTTATAATATTAAATAATTACGGACGACGTTTTTTATCAGAAATATTGCTTCAAATGAAAAATGACAACAAAACTTTTTTATTGTATTTTGAATTTTGTTCCTTACGGTTTAAAGTTCGGATAATTTTAGCCGTTTTTGGGCTATTTATAGACATTTTAATTTTGGGAGTTTTTTGTTGTAATTCGATTAAAAACATTCATAAAAACTTGAAATTTAGGTTGTTTACTTATATTATCCTTGCCTAGACATGGTAACATTTTCAAAACATTTGAGCGACTTTTGAGCTTTTTCTCTTATTTTATACTTTTTTTAATTTTTATGATATTTCCTAATTATAAATTATAACTGTAGGTAATTATATAAATTAACTATTTATATAAATCGTTCTTAAGCTGTTCTTAAAACGCTTTGTTTATCACCATAGAAACGAATAAAATTAAATAAAAAAGATTCCCTCAGAATCGTTTTTTATCGAATACAATCATTGCATTTAAATTGAATACAGTAAAATATAAAATTACACTATCCTGTCCGAGTTAGTTTTTTAGAATACATTTCATGAAATAAAATCACGTGGATTTGTCATCATAAACTGTGCGCTGGAAATTATACATGATCTTTTTCCATACCTTTGAAATAAACAATACATATATAGTTTTCCGCAATTCCCCAGAACATATTATATTACACAATAATATAACAATGTATATTATATTATTGATTGCAGTTATTTTAGAATTAATACTTATGATTATATAAGTTGATTATGTAGGTAAAAATAATATAATGAATTAATAATATAATAATATATAACCCTTGTGATTTCGATTTCGATGGTTTAAACATTGCAATTGCAACGTATTGTGCTCGTAATATTTAAACACTTCACTAATTTATAATTTATACTAATTTATACATTTTTTTTCTTTTTTAACGAGTAAGAAATAAACTTTATCCAAATAAAGAAATTATACTTACAAAAATATGTAAAACATGACAATTTTATTTTAATTAAAATTGATAGATATTAATAATTCCTATTAATTTAAAAAAGCGTTTTAATTGGTTGAGTGTTAAAATATTATCCAATCCAATTCATCGGAATCATGTGAGACGAAAAGAGTACTTCATTTGCATGAAATTTTAGGCTTATTCAGTATTATATCATAATAATATTATAACCAGGGCTTAATATACTTATAATACCTATAGTATTTACATATTTTTTGAGAAATGCGAACTGTAAATCTGTTTCAGATAACTAAGAAGCTAAACACGAAATTTAATGTGGTATATTTTTGAAAATTTCAAAGTATATATGCTATTTTGCCAACTTATTTTTGCATATTTAAAAATTTGTTATTTTCTATATTGTTTTTTTAATTTTTAAAGTATTTTTCAGTTCCGTAGTATTTAACACATTTTTTCTTAATAATAATAAGTAACTATAGTAGTATTAATTATTTATATTTGTAGTTAATTCATGTTAATGAACTAATTTTTCTTTTTTTGGTTTAAATTATATATTTATTTGTATCATATAGCGACGCGATCGGTATTTTAATAATAAGAGTTTTTTACACGTGATATCTATTTTTTTTCGCATATTTTTGTATTTTTAGAGCATATTTAAGCGCTTATACTTAACTACTTTTTATTGAACTAAAAGTTGTGAGCTTTGATTATAACTATTACGACATGGCTATTCACTGTGTATTATAATATAAAATTTATAAAACAAAATATGAGTTGCACCTACTCACTTTTCGATGATCTTAATTGGTAGTCTTAGATAACCGTATAATTAGTGCAACGTTGATGAAAAGCGGTCAGGGTTAGCAGGAAAATACCGTAGAAATATTGATTACCTACTACAGCATGGTAACTATGCAGATCGAATCACAAGATTGGGTATCACGATTATCTGTCATCTATACTCGTTTTCTACATTAAAATATACAAACGGATCAGATCAAGGGAGAAAAAACAAATAAACATTCAACATTCGTCGTCGACACACGTCCGCCCAATCATCTCGGCGAGAGCTTTATGTTAACTGCGGCAAAATTAACCTTTTTCTAACAGTCGACATGTAAACTGCGTCAAGAAACAAATTAACATTATACAATGTGCGGCAAACCCGATAAGATACATTATATAAGCTGCTGCAATTTATTTTATATACCTACGATATTATATACTATACGAGTATCTAAATCATACATACCTACTTATGTGTACCTATGTACAGTGGCGTAATTGTGGGGGAGGCAAGGTGGGAAAGTGCCCCCTGACAATTTTTTGAGAGATAAAGGTATAATTTTGCCCCCTCCCAGATAATCCAAAAGTACAAATAGCACCTTTTATTAATGAACTCTTATGGGTATTATTTAACAATATTCGTACCTAGTACCTGCTACCTACAATTTATGTTTATCTAAGCCACAAAATGAGTTAAAAGACTTATGTAAAATCAAACAGTTAGATATACTGTATAAAATACATACAATAAAAATATGTTTTAATTGGTGAGGGGGAGGTGTGTCAGGGTTTTGGTAATAATAAATATATTATATTGCCCTCGTAGATTTTTTCCCAGTTACGCCACTGCCTACGTACGTATTAATTATATGCTTATTGCGTGTTCCCATGTTTTGTCACCACTTATTTTTGATTCATATTGAAATTTGAATTTAAAACTAATTTTGTCTGCATTTAGTGATTATGATATTGAAGGTGATAATATACAACACAAAAAAAAATCACGACTCCCCGAGACAGTTTCTGAAACTAAATCTACTATTATAATTAATTACGCTTTATTATCAAACACATGTGATAGATATAATGTTCCAGACAGAGCTGGGGCGGCCATTGCTTCAGCGGTATTGCATTATGAAAATGGTGTTAATTTGGAAATTATTGACAAAAATAAGTTTCGACGAAAGCGTAAAAAAACAAAACAATGTATTTTAAAAAGTTTTCAAAATACCGATGTTATATTTTGACGGCCGAAAGGACAAAAAGGTCGAAGTACTATTACTGCTGTTACAGCTGTTGCTGCTGTTGTTGCTGCACATACAAGTGTAACATAATAAATAATCAGTATACGCGTTTAACGTAACGAGTGTAATTTGTATTTATTAGAATCGATAAATACCGTTTGCTTCGTTAAAATGTGAAATGATATCAAACCACACAAGTTGGAACAAAATTATTTTTTAGACTCTTTCCACATCTTTTCCAAATCTTCGATCATCTTGGTCCTTTCTAAAATGGAAGCTTGTTCGCTGCACACCTCGCTATGGAATTCCCGCAGTTGCTCGGCGGCCTGCAGCTGTTCGAGTTCCATCTTTTCCGTCACTTCATGCAAGTTCTTGTTCAACTCACAAATGTCATCTTGCAACATTTCGATTTTTTTGTTCGCCTTGTTCAACCGTTTCCGGGTGTCCTCGATCTCCTTACGGATCGTCTCCTGCAGATAATCACTCTTGGTGCTGTCCGAAGTGCCGCCAATATCCTTCTCGGTCAGGGCCGCCTTCAATCTGTTGTAGTGCACCACGATGCGCATGACGTTTACCCACTCCAACCTAGCAACCTGTAGCAAAGACGTTAGGTTTTCTCACGGGACAATCCGATCGGATACAATCGATATATTTATTAATTAAAGGCAGTGCGACAGCGGCCGCGTAACACGTCCTATACCTTATAGTCCATTATTCCTTGTTTGATCTCGTTTTGTAGGTCTCTTTTCATGGCGACGATCAGTTTCTCATGTTTTTCCTGTAACCGGTTTATGATTTTCCGCCGTTCCCGCGCCAGCAGAGCAAATAACCTGTGGAAAATCGTTTTAGTACTCGCGAAACGCTTTGCTAACGACATCACCGTATTGCCCGCGCGTGGTTACCGAAGCATATACCGCCGCGAGAAACACCTGATGTTTACGTATGATTAAGGATGATCTATCGTATGACGATTGATTTCAATTACATTTTCACCAAGCATACAGGATACGTCTTGGCCAACGTTTCGGCTACCTTACTGGTGGGCTTATCGATCAACGTTCCTTGCCACAACATTTCGGTCATGGCGTTCGAACATGTGGAAGCCGGGGTGGTCAAAGTGAACAACGGGCTGGTCGCGTCGAACTCGATCTTGGCAATCTTTTTGTCGCGCACTTCGATCTAGAACGATAGCGACGAATCGAATCACTTAGTAAACGGTCATGAGTATTAATGATTGGACCGGAAAAACGGTCAGTCTCGACGGCAAAGACCTAAACGTCTGATAGCGTTGATACGGGAACAGGTGAAATAGTATAACAAGCATGAAAGGGTGGAGTAATTGACGTTATTAACTTTGAGCTACAGTCGTATTGAATTTCTTACGTCTTGCAGTATGTTCTTCACTTTTCTTTTCAACATCGAAAGCAATTTAATTCGTTTGAACAAGTTCGGGTTGAATTTCTCGCAAGTGTTGCTACTGTCTTCCTAAAACATATAATTGACCTGGTATTATAATCCGACGTTTACTAGTGTCTGTTCTGCTCACTATTAGCTTGTCCAACAGCTTTTCGACATATGGATCGCGACACGCCGTACTGTTGGGATCTTGTTCACCCAACATTTCCTGTTCAATACTGCTGTACACTCTTTTGAAAAACTGATAGGCCAACATCCTAGCTTCCGGCGTTTTTCGCTGCGACAAAATCGATCTGACCTCGGCCGTGATTCGATACGCTTTGTCTTCGAGTTCAGGTTCTGCCTGATCGTTTGACATCTCCACTCTTAAATCTAATGGTTTTACCACCGGTGGAGATCTGAAAAGTTATATATTATAGATCACGAGAATAATTTAGGAACGTGACGGTCATTGCTAACTACTCGTTAGCTCATTGCTAACTACCCGTTAGCAATGACGTAAGCAAATGTCGTTAGCAACGTAGCACTACGTTGAAAAAAAAAGACATTTTTTCATCGTAATAAACGTATTGAATTTAAACAATAAGTTCAATAAACGGTGAGGTGGTTTTAGCCGGGTCGGATATAATGTAATTCTTAAAAAAAAAATTTTTGGTTGAAAAATGTAAAAAAAAATTTTTCCCTCCCCGATATTTCAAACCTGAACAACGTCTAAAAACAGCGGTCTTACATCCGTTGTCCGCACGCGTTCACCCATCCGCAGGCCGTGCTGCCTTCCATCGTCACGGCCACGTACGCGAACATACCCCCGGCCGCGGGCAGACTCTGGATCGCAATGTACGTGCGGCTGTCGTTCGACACATGGTTCATGTCGACCATTTCCAGTTCGCGGTTGTGAACGAACTTCGTCCAGTTCTCTTTGTTCTCGTTAACCTGCAGGACACCGAGAAGCGGCCGTTCAGAATACCGCAGCCGAATTGTCGACGTGATCACCATCGAGAGCACTGGGCTCTCGCGCGTGATTCCTTCGCGCGCGAGTACACGACGGAGGATCAGCCAGTGTTTCTTGATGTTTCCCAATCCACGCCCTCCCTCTAGAGTGTGTTTCGAAAATATCACGACACCCGCACTCGTAGGTTTTGTACATGTTTAACGAGCTTACGAGCTTTTCATTTTTTTTTCCTACCTACAGGTCGTCATTGAATACCACAGCTTTACGATATCAACCAGTGGTCGAAAACCGGCGGGCCGCACGTCGTCTTTATTAAGGTTGATTCACGTGTACAGACGTAAGCGCGAGTGGAAGACAAAACGGAAATTAAGGTATACGTTGTAGGCGCACTAACGTTGCTTATACTTGCAGACAAGTGCCGGCACGAACGGACAAGCTGAAGGACGTCGGCGCGTGTCTGCAAAGTCACCCGTGAACACGACCATCAATGCGCGCAGTGATTGCAATTTGTTTTACTCTGCGTACGGTACAGAACATATTTTAAGTAATTTTCACTAAGCGGCACTTCGATAAAATTGTCTACCATTGCAGTTCATAGACGTGGTGTTCTTCTGCAGAGGAATATACAGGGAAAATCAACTCCTGTCACTACGTTCGTTATGAAAATTCGTTGGTTATTGGCACGATCAGCCACCACTGGCAGCATTCAATTATCACTGGGGCGCACTAGTACCACGTGTTTTGTATGTTAAAATATGCTCTGGTACGGTAACACACGTACACCGCTAAATTATAGTTTGTTGCTTACCACTATGTTGTCGGTGGAGTGGTGGTCGTGTATGAAAACTACTGTCTGTGCCGTGTCTGCCACATGTGAACACACCTTTATACGACCCGCGTAGAATTTCAAAACTAGGACGTTTCACGTGAATATCGCATCAATTATTTATATCACTCGGCCCGTGAACACCCTTTTTGATTTGTGAATGCGGCCTAAGGGTCCGAAAAGGTTGCCGACCGCTGATATAAACTGATGTAAACGACAAGACTACAAACGTTAGGATTGCTTATCGTTTCAGTCAATCCGCACGACGTCTCATGTTCGACGAAAAATCACGTGTCCTTAAACCAGAAACAAATTCCCCCTCATATCCACTTTGGGAAACTCTGGACCTACAGGGTGAACGCTGTGAACGGTCGAAACTCAACGCGCGAGCATATAACCATCGTTAGTCCCGCAAGCGAGTCCCAAACACTTACAGTTCTCTCATTTTCTAATTCCACGCAGGGCTTGGCAGTGATATGCTTAAAGACGCCGTCCAGCGACAACGGGTGCGACGAGGGCGCCGAGGTGAACGGCGCGCTGAGCTTCCTCTCGTCCATGTTCAAAATCAGCTGCGACAGGTAAATGTTGCGGGCTTGTTTTTCGGCCGTCGTGTCGTAACTTTCGTTCGTCAGTTTCGTCAGCCATTTCTGCGGAACAATGGTGCACGTGCGTAATGTGATATTAATTATAACGGTTACGCGGCGGCGGCGGGGTTGGAGGGGGTGTCGATTTTACGTTGCATATCTCCTTTTCGGCCTCGGATTTCAACCCGTCGAATGATTCTTTGAAATATTCCAAAAAGAACAGATAGTCCTCGTTGACTTTCTCGTCGACGCCTAACGGTTCCCCGGTTGCCATTGTACCCAATTGTGTCGATTGAACGCGACGGTTAAAATATTGATTGCTATTGCCACGTCGATTGTTCTTGCGAACTGTTGTTGTTTCGTGCAGTAACAAACTCTTGCTCGCGCGCGTCGCAGTAGCCATGAGAAACGGTTTCTTACTCGTCCCGTGTCCATGTCTACCGAAATTGTGGTTTCAAACACAACTGGAATCGAACACGTACCGGTCGCTAACATTCGTATAAAACACGTTCGGTGATTCGTATTCGTGCGCTGAAATCGTCGTTCTGCACTCGGTTCGTCCATAGAAATCTACTGAGATGCGCGTGTAAGCGAACGCATGTAAACGTCTAATCGAACTTACAAGAACCGTTCAACTTAAAAATGTGATATTTCGAATGTCGTTTTATATTATTTTACTCAATCTTATGTATAATATTTATGTAGATATTAAAAGTTTTATTTATTTTAAATTTTTTCGTTTTCCAAATTGAAAAAATGGATACGCGGTGTAAGTTTTTGCTTTTCTTTTTTATTGGTATGTGGCGGAACATGGTTAGTTATACATTTGTTTCGTACTACGGAATAGAAATCAATCGGCGTTTTTATTTTATCATATTTATTCGATATTTTAACCATTTCGTTTTAAAATAGCTTATTTGGTTTTGTTCCCAATTGGGTTGATTTCGACATTTTCGATTTCAGTACACATTATACATACATATATTTCCCTGTACTCATTATTTTATGATAGACATTGTTCATAACATTTTACGATCTAGATTATAATATTATATTGTAATATAATATACGCCGGAAGAATAGATTTCTGAAATTTAATTAAACGGTTCGCTTTAAGTGGGTGTTCCGTTTGTTAGATTTATATGCACAATAATAAAACATAATAAAACGTTATTTTTTTTCTTTTGTTATTAAATCAGTGACACGATAGGACGAATAATCAATATATATATATATATATATATATATATATTATATATATGTATTTATGTATAAACGTGTATTATTTATTCACGTAGACTCTGTGGTGTTTTGGCAAAAAAACTAGAGGGTATACGCGTATTTAAGGATTTATGACAATGACTATTGTGTATTCATTAGGATCAAGACTTATCAGATTTTATCACTCAAACGCTCGCTTCGCACGCGAGTATTCAAGTTTTTTCTGGATCTCATGTTTACAAGTATAAAATTTAATATAAAAAAAAAAAAAAAAAAATGTGTATTAATTTTATCCCATATTATTTCTTGATTTATCTAAGTATTTAAGGCTTCTATGAAAAATTCAATAATTGCCCGATTTTAAAGGCAAAAAATATAATAAAATATTATTATATTAATTTTTTTTATTTACAATTATTGTAAAATAAAATCATAATCAAGTAATAGTCAAATATATAACTAAAAAACATATAAAATATATACAATTAACTTTAACAGAACCTATACTTAATAAAAAGGAATAAATCACAACGGTTAAAATTGATTATAGTTTATCAGCAATGTATCAACATTGATCACGGATAACAGTAAATTGAAGATTACAAATGTTTATATGGAACGCCAGCGCATTCGGTTATCAGGAATCCATTACTACTACAATTCAGGCGTTCCCAATATTTATCATTGCATGGGCTATCTATGTTTATTTAATCAATCACCACACTATCTAGTATATTCTTGTATAAAAACGTCAACGGCCGCTTGTAGATATTATAATTTGATACCTAATGAATATAGTTGGATGGTAATCGATAGCTATGAATAATAATCAATTATCAATGTTATTATTAACCTACCAGTAACAAATTTTCTAAAAATAAACGTATGTCCTATGGATTTTTTTTCTATTTATGAAGTAGGTATACGAGCGTATACGTGCATATTGGTGTTACTTTTATAAAGTATACGCTAAATCACCATGATGGTTCACGGGTATACGTCGTATACCCTCCAAAACACCACTGCGTAGACTTCGGTATAAAGCAATGGCTCCCGTGTACATCCCGTCCAGAGCGGACTATTATAATACTGTGTATACATGTTATCGCGCATAACCGAGTTGCATACAAACGTGTACTGGCCGGAGGGAGGTAGGAGAGGGGGATGCAAAATTTAATTTTGAAACGTAAAAGTACAATAAATATTTTACGACTAACGTGCACGGTTGTGGGCAAGTTAAAGAGTTCCGCAGTACTGTATTTAAAATATCCTCGAGTTTTTTTTTTATATTATTATCAACCATTTAATTATAAAATACAATTTTAAGTATCATAATAAATAATAAAATAAAAAGATAATAGAAAAATTACCTACACCTTTAAGCAAAGCTTGTGGCTTTGCTTAAATTAGTTTAAATTAGAGAATCCGCTCCGTACAATAGAAAATATAATTGGTGGACCACGAAACGAAAAAATAATGAACATTATTTGTCTCGCTATACTGATAAATCAGAGTCCAATTCGACCTGTAAAGTTCGTGAGATTCGAAAATCTTGCTGTCGTTATTTCTCTTCCAAATGCTTTCGCTTATAACGTTATTACGTGCAAAAATACTAATTGCGATACGATATCGTTTGCATAAACGTGGACGGTGGGTTCTATATCGGTCAACAAACGGATTATTGTTTTTTTTTTTTTTTCATCACTTTCGGAACGCGGTTAAAATGTCCTTCGAACATGAATGATATGTGGTGACCTTAGATTTAAACGTCCCACCGCCGAGGTAGGCTTAATGATTTTACAAACCGAAATAGTCGTATGGAGCTTACTGAAATACGTGATGGTAAATTTTGTAAATATTAATAATATGACGGTCTTGTGCTGCAAGACATTGTTCGCGACGGTTTCGTGCTTACGGTTTTGAGTACAATTCATTGAAAAACCATCCTCCGAAGTCGGGCTTAGCGTTGCTCCGTCATCGATTCCGGGGAAGGATGTGTCGCCGGAATGCGTTTATGTCCAGGTTCGTTTGTTTTCGAGAGACGAAAAAAAAACTATTCAATTCCTAAACACCGGAGAGAACTCCAGATAATGTAGTTGAGCAGCGTTGGTAGGTCTAGGTAATGATAATTGTTAAGAAACAGCAGACCGTCACCAATAACTACACCGAAAAATCAAACATAATATTCCAACTGTTCTGCGCGAAGCTAACAATCAACGACTGTCTCCTTTCTTTCCTGGAGGATACCGGACTTGACGAATTGATTTAAGAACAAATAATAAACAATTTCCTTTAACTTATGGCCACAGCGGTCGAAGAAGTTGTAATTTAGATGAATAAAAAAAAAAAAAGAAAAGGCTATGGACCTCGACGGAAATAATGCGAATGCATTATGCGTGTAGTGCATTTTCTCGTGCCCAGATATTGTTTATACACTTTCCACGGGGTACATCCGGTGTCGCTGATCGCGTACGAAGTTGTTGCATACTTGCGCCTATGAATTTAATTTTACATCTATCTTATTGAATGGCAACAAAATATCACTGAACCAACAATTTTAAAAACAATACCTGAGGAAAATGTTCAATTGCTCGTCGAACAAAAAGTAGAAGGTGATATATGTTTGCTGCGTATTATACACAAGCAGTCAAATGAGCTGTAACAGAAGCTTCAACCATTTTGTATGGTAAATCCGTTAAAAAAGTTTTTATTAAAGCACAAATAAAATCACGAAAAGTAATGTCAACATTTGACAGTAAGAAAGAATTTAAAACCGTTTGAACTTATACCTAACCATTATTATATTATTATTGTTGTTTATTTATTTTTTTTATTAATAATGACACATAATAAATACGATTGTATTTTATCACATAAATAATGTTCAAAATTTTTTAAAACATAATTCCATATTTTTAATGAAAAATATTTAAACTTTTTACACAGTGAATTTTCAAGACTGATCCTGAAGCAAAAAATGACATTATATTGATATCAAATATTTATAAGTAGCTATGCCCAATGGAAATTAATACATTTATTTTTTTGCATACAAAAGTGACCAGCTCTACGACATAGAATATAATGTCGTAGGCGTATAAAATAAATTGCCGCACATTGTACAATGTTAAATTTTTTCTTGCAGCAGTCTACTCGTCGACTTTTAGAAAAAGGTTAATTTTGCCGTAGTTTACCATCTCCCTCGGCGAGGGGTTTCACCGTGCCACAGTACGTACTCGTGTTACACCATTACAGTTTTAAGAACGATTCTTCGGACATCTGTTCATCGTCGTATGAATACCTACGAAACAATACGACGAAACGCACCGCGTTCGTTTGTCCATAGCTAGCGCCCGTGTTGACTACTCGAACCGTGTGGTACGGATATCTCTGTTCTCGGATGGATGCAGACGAGCCGAACGGAATACATTGTCCGGTCGTTATTATAGTACGTGCGTGCTCGTGTTCGCCACAATCGAATTGCGATCGTATCGTGTGATTCCGTAGCGCTTGTTACGACCGCCGGGAACAGCAGGTGCCCATCTTGAACCGTAACAGCAGCACTTAGATTAATTATTAGCTGCACGCGAATATCGCAACTTTCGCGAGGTGTTTTGACGACTCCGTCAGTAAAAAAAAAAAAAAAAATTGTTGCTCGCGGATACCGCAGCGACCGTGCGGGTTAATAATATTTTATTCCGTGTACACAAGTACTGAGGTACGATGTAATCATAATGCGATGCTGCTTATTATATTATTATATTAAATATTACGTTTCACACGTCGGGACTGATGAAGTTTCGTGTACGCAATTAAATCGACATCCGGCGCTTGTGCACAGGTGTACGTGTGCGTCCGAACGAACGCGGAATGTCCGACGAAAAAGAGCCGCGATAATTATTACAATACAAACGCGTATATATACACGTACATGTTACGCTGTGTACATATAGAACATTCGTGACAGTTTTCGAACACGATTTTCCTATTTTACGTCGGCATGTACGTTACTGATGCGATATTGGACAGCTTATGATCAACTTTCGAAAAACC